AATAAATAAATAAATAAATAATCTAAAAATAGAAAAAGTAACCTTTATTTGTTAAGTGTATGCATTCTTATTCCAATATTTTCACTATAGTGGTTGAAATGCTTCATGCTGGCAGAAGCAGGTGCTCTGTCAGGCAGCTTGGAAATTTTGATTTTAGATACCGCAACATCTTGCCTGGCAGGTACTGGAAGTTTGAATTCTGGAAAGTAACTTGCCAAACTCTACCCTAATGAGCAACCTCTATAGGTTTTGGTTCAATTTTTCATTCACAAATACGTCTACCTCCATCATGATTCCCTGTCCATGAACCACCCCATCATGGTGCGTCCAACAGAAACAACAGGTCATTAGGCAAAAATCACTCCACATGTCAAAGGCCAATGAACAGCTATTAACAGTATATCATCCATTTGTAAATAACGTTGGGTATAAACCACATGGCAAAAGACATATGGGAAGAGGTACCTCTCTCTTTTGTTTTACACAAAGCAGGAAAAGCTCTCCAGCTCCCACCCCCATTTCATGTATTTTAATATTTGAAGCCTGTCTCTGAATACAGTTCCCTAGCCGTCACAGAAGCAACCACAATCAGGAACATATTTAAACCTTATTTGCTTATGAAACCAAATGTAGAATGGAGTTTTGCCACGAGCCTGGAATGCCAGGCTCTAGTACTTGACTGCATGTGGCACAAAACATCAATTCCTCTGAAAAACTAGCATGCCGGGAAAAACACACTGACACATCAAAAGAAGAAACTCCCCAGAGCCAATACACCCATGTGGATACACAAAACACAACAACACATCCCCAAACACATACACATAACAAGGCACACGTAACGCAAAATGTATCTCACAAAATCTAAGGCAGACTATCTCTTCTGATAATAACAATGGACCCTTCACACACATACATTGTGTTGTGAATGAGGCCGAGCAGGCTTTTTTTTTTTAAGACCTTACTTTCAAGCAAACCTTCTCTGGTATTTTGCTGAAGAAGAGCATTTGAAGCAGTCAGAGAAATTATCATCCCTGTCTAGAGTTAGTCTTGTTGGATGGGCAAGGATGTCTCTGGGTGGAGGAATGAAGTCCTGCGATAGGATGCCCATCGTTCCTCCATCTAATAGTGTTCATAGACATCCCTAGCTATCTGTCATTTAGGAAATCTGGGAAAAATAGCATATTGGGAAAATAAGTGTGAGAAAAAGACATTTTGGAAGATGCCAATAGGAAATATACTACTGGGGTCAATGTGACAACCTACGTACATGCCATTGTCTGTAAATCCCAATGTTTAGTTTAGAATTAGCAATTTAATTAACAATTAATAATGCTAAGTCCACGATTGAAATGTTTTCAGATTTAAATGTTAACAGCACTGGACTGAACCAATCTCCCTGTTTCTAATATTTAATGATAACAAATTAATGTTCACATCTGATGTTCCAAGCTCTGGTCCAAAGCATAAAAATTATGCTCCATCTTTGAGGTACAGTGGTGCCCCACTTGATAATTACATCGTTAGACGAGGAAATCTCTTAACAATGAAGTCGCAAAAGCGATAGCAAAAGCGATCGCAAAACAATGTTTTAAATGGGAAAAATTGCTTCAGTATGATCGATTCCTTGCTTCGGGAACCGATTTTTCGCTTTACGACGATCAGAAATCAGCTGATCGTCGGGTTTCAAAATGGCTCCCTGCTGTGCTTATTCCTCACATTACAGGCACCAGAAAATGGCCGCCCTATGGAGGATCTTCACTGGACGCTGAGGTATTTCGCCCACTGGAATGCATTGAACGGTTTTCAATGCGTTTCAATGGGCTTTTTCATTTTGCTTGACGAGGATTTCGTTCTACAGCGATTTTGCTGGAACGGATTATCCTCATCAAGCAAGGCACCACTGTACAAGGTTATTGAAGTAAATCAGCTTTATAAAATACAGTTGCAAGTTGCTTCTGTAATCCAAGACTAACCACAGTTTGTCCAAGTTCACATAAAACAATACATGGAAGTTAGATAAAGCTGGAAGTGAAAGCTTCTCATCATCCTATCACAGCTACACAAAGAGAGGGAAAGGGGAAGACACATGAGCTCAAAACCTAACTATAGCATTATCTCCAAACAGGTCCCTGTGAAAGCTGTAACAATGTCTTTTTTAAAAAAAGGAAAGATGGCCCACTGACATTCCAATTATATACAGTATTATATTTACAAATTACCAATCCCTATATTTTTTAGGGCATGACATAGTTCCAAGCTAAGACCAAAACAAAAGAGACTGTAAGATTTATTTAATCTTGGAGTGTCTGTACAGGGATGTCTATGAAGCTGTAGCAAGCACTGCTCTGTTCAGCAACATTTTGTCTACTGACTAGCAGGAAATATTTGACAGAGGAGTTTCTCCCAATCTTGCTGCTCAAGAATCTCAAGGGGGTGAAGGGAGACTAAATGGGGGGGGGAGGTTATTCTATACTCATTATTCCCTTCACCCAAAGCCTTCAATTACTCCATTCCCTCCATGCTGTCCTTTCTGATCCCCCAGCTTAAGTAAAAAAATTAGGAGGCTTACCTGGAGCAGAAGGCGGGTACCCACCTGCAGAAGGCGGGTACCCACCTGCAGAAGGTGGGTATGCACCTGCGGGGGGATATCCTGGATAACTCATTCTGTAAAGATGAAACAAAAGAGAGAGAAACTGTCATTTTTTGTTTAGTATACTATAGCTTGTTAATGGCATGTACAAATACATAGCAGTTGAAAAACTAAAGCTGCCAGGGGTCTTTGACATTTTACTACTGAATCAGAGCACACTGGTGCTTCGCTTGACGAGGATAATCCGTTCCAGCGAAATCGCTGTAGAGCGAAATCCTCGTCAAGCGAAATAAAAAAGCCCATTGAAATGCATTGAAAACTGGTTCAATGCGTTCCAATGGGCTAAATACCTCATCGTGCAGCGAAGATCCTCCATAGGGCGGCCATTTTCGGGTGCTTATAAAGCGAAAAATCCATCCTAAAAAGTGGGGAACCATTTTGCACAGCAGGTGGCCATTTTGAGAGCTGCCAATCAGCTGTTTTAAAAACATCATTAAGCGAAAAATTGGTTCCCGAAGCAGGGAACTGATAACCATTAAGCGAATTTTCCCCCTTAAAACATCGTTTTGCGATCGCAAAAGTGATAACAAAAACCTCATCGTCAAGCAGATTCATTGTTTAATGAGGTAATTGTTAAGCGAGGCACCACTGTATAATCTAATACAGTATTAATTCCTAGAGCAGACAACTTACTCCATATCCTACTGTGGCCAAAATTCTGTGAGGTAATTGTTAATCGAGGCACCACATCTAATACAGTATTAATTCCCAGAGCAGACAACGTACTCCATATCCTACTGTGGCCAAAATTCTGTAGTTTAGTAAGTCACATTACAGTAGGCCCACTGGATCAATGGGGATTTAGTGAGTCAATTTCTTCATAGGTTCCACTGATTCAAAGAGGCTTCCTCTAACTGTGACTTACTTTAGCAAAGCTACAGTTAAAGTAAGCCTTCTGGGATCAATGGAACTTATGGGCCTACACTAAGCAACAGGATTTTGGCTTGTAAGTCTCATTTAAGCCTAAATGTGGATTCATCGTGCAGCAATTTATTCCATAGGTCTACTCGAGGTGTGACTACCAAAAGGATTTAGGCTACTGCAATCAGTGGGATATACATCCTAAACAAGTCCCTTTCATTTCAATGGGTCTGCTTTCAGACTAACATTGGATTTGGGCTTTGGCAGAAATTTTTGTTCCACTCTTCCTCCAAAGAACTTGGGACAGGTAGAGTGGCCCCTCTATTATCCACCTTAAAAAAACTGTGTGCTGCTTATATACACTCTCTGGACGATTTACAAGTTAATTATGCAGGCTACATATTGCTCCCCCCCCCAAGCAACCTGGGTACTCATTTTATCGACCTTGGAATGATAGAAGGCTGGAATTGAACCCCAAGCCGTGAGCTCAGTTTTAGCTGCAGTACAGCAGTTTAAGCACTGCACCACGAGGCTCCTTAATCCCTCTTATTACTCGTACAACAATCCTGAGAGGCAGGTTGACTGGGGGACAGTGATTTACTCAAAAGCACCCAGCAAGGTATGCATACAAGCAAGTATTTACAATGGGCTCCCCACTAAACAACATTATTTCTAATGTACTATATTTCTACATGACTGATGTCTCATTAGACCAATTCTGCCCATCAATAGCAATTTCATGATTTTGGCAAGCCCAGATAATCCATCTATCCAAACACTACCAGAACCACAAGGGCCACAGACACACAGGACCACAAAACATACTGAACATTCAGCAACATATTTGCAATCACTGGTAAAATAAGGAGGCACCTTACAGAAGGGCCTTTTCATGCGCACAACTTAATGTCATGTCTTCTGCCCTATTCAAGGGTTTCACAGAACTTTGTTACAAAGTCACATATGCCCATGTGGCAATCGTGTTGAAACGCTTCCTGTGTACTACTGTTTTGCTCTTTCTATATAGAGAGAGGTACACAAAAACATAACTTGCCCTTTGTTAGCTAAGAAGCCAGGGTGTTCAGCTAATTTCTAGGCATCTTTTCTTCGTGTGGACTGAGATAAACAGGTAACACTACAGTCAGCTAAATTTCTTAGCAACAGCAATTAAAATTAGGTGAAATATGATTTTAAAATAGTAGATTTTCCTGTTAAATTTTGGCAGAGGTATATATATCTGATGTATATGCATTTATTATCTTGAACCTATAGATTTTCTTGTTAAATTTTGGCAGAGGTATCTGATGTATATGCATTTATTATCTTGATTTTAATATGTTGATTTTATATCTTTGTAAATTTTATCTTCATCTTGCTAAGGTAAATGGCTAAAACAAATATATATAAAAAAGAATGCTAAGGAGGCACCCACTTTTTAAATATGTGTTACAATTCAAAGTATCCTCTCTATGCAACTTGGATCTTTTGAAAATAACATGAGCAATCACTCTTATATCCAAGCAAATGTGTTTTAATAACACACTGTAAGTCAACAGAAATTCAAATGCACCAATTGCTTACTTGGGAATGCAGTTCTCAAAAAGAACCATCTGTACACATTACACACCCAATAACATATTTACCATCATTTTCACAGTAGGGAATAGCAGCCACTCCTTTATTTCCACAATATACACTTGGTGGCCTATAACTGTCTGTTGCATGCAGATGTTACATCCATATCTGCATATATTAAACATTTTTCAACAGGTTTCTTTTAAAGGCTGTTGAAAACAAAATGTGCAGTTGGGCAAAACTGTGCAGTTGGAAACTGGCAAGTGTGAAGTTGGAGAAGTAGAGAAAAAAAATGAGACAGATTAGGCACATCTGTTAGTCAAGAATTTAGGCGACAGGCAGTGTAATGTAACAGTTTCCAAATGCTCAACTTTGTGTCCAGCTACATGATTTTAAAAAAAAAAACTATTTGTTTTTGGTGCAATGTCAAAAAGTAAACATGAGCAACTATTCTGACTTGTGTCATTCATGAAGCGTCTCCCACTATGAATAAAAGCTCCCGTATTTTATAAAAAGTTCCCTTTCCCCAGGCAGGGAGAGAAAGTCACTTCTACTTTTTACCATTTTTATGATTTCTGCTTTTCAAAGCCATGACTTCCAAAAGAACACACATGCACTGCTATTTTTGCCAGATTCCACCTCCCAGAAATACACTATAAGGAGTGACCCACTAGTGGAAAAAGAGAGCTTTCCCTCCTCAGTGGCACACCCACATATCTGTTCCATCCTCAACAAAACAAATCCAAAAGAGCAAGTCTGTCGTGATATACTTAGGTTCTTCCGTCTCTAAAATCGTAACACCTTGAAGGTTACAACTAAACTGCCACAATATGCTTATTCACACCCACTGAATGCCAGCAAGTAAAGGGCTAATAAGAGGCACAAGAGAAGAACTGTGTTGAGACTTGGTGGGCAGCAAGGTTTGTTGACTTAGCTACCTACCTGACTTTGGAATTAATTTCACAAGCAGCTGAAAACCAAAGCCGTCTGCTATGTCAACTTCCCAACCGTTCCTTGGCTCCAGGAGCTACATTAATATTAAGAGGACATATTCCAGTTTTTCAGAACGGGGATGCTCAGAAGTTATTCACTGCATGTTGGAGGAGTAGCAAACCAGCACAACTTTCAAAGTGTTTATGCTGCATACACAGATGGGTGATTACAGAATTTTTTGGGGGGGGGGAAGGATGGGAGCAATCATACAAACACTCTAAACCTACCCAGCCCAAAGACAAGTGTACAGAAAAGGGTGGGGGGCAGGCGGGCTGGAAGATGTTGGAAGCTATAGTCCAATGGAGTAACCTTTTCAAACTCTGGTCGCAGGACGCTTCCATCCTCTAGTTCTGCTGACTGTTCATTGCTTCTGTTGCAATTAACTGCAAATGGAACTAAAATGGAGGTCCCCACAAAAATGGTGGTCACCCACACACTGTTTATGATCCAGCAAAGGCCTAGGCCAAAGTCTCACCTTAGCCCATGTAAGTAATATAATATCTACTCAAACACAAGCTTCATTCAGAAAGGATCACTTCTAATGGCAACAGAAAGCCCCTTGGTTGCCATTTCTGTCCCTTTTATTACATCCTAGTGATATGCTATCTTGGGAACAGAGATGAGTAGTCCCTGATTAGTCTACTAAATGGCTTCTTTGAATTGCCCTGGTGCCCATTATAAACACAGCTCTTTTGCCATCTAAAATAAGCAAAGAGAAATCACAGTAAGAGAAAACAAGGCGAGGGGGGGGAGAGCCTCTCCCTCCCCTGGTATTTGATTCCTGTCTCCTTCCAGTTTCCTTCATCTTCTGAATTATTGCAACTAACACAACAAATGATGATATCCGGTATGATCAAAAGATCAAGACAGCATTTGAACAGGTCACCGGCCTCTTCCTCCTCCAGCACTCTAGATTTGTTTTCCACTGACACCACAAGGACACCAAAGAGAAATGCTGCCAGCTTCCAAACACCAATTTACAGTCTGCTTCACTATGTCCTCCCTTTCTTACAGAGTGAAGGATGATCAGCATGAGAGTAGATATTGCAAAGAGCACATCATTAGAAGCAGAAATGTCTGAACTGCCAAAAGCATTTGGCTCAATAAGAGCTTCTGAGTTTGCAAACCATCTTTTCTGAAAGCGAACATGACCTTCATTTGCAAGTCTGCTTTGCCAGACACAAAGCTCTGACAAAATTACATCACAAGAACAGAAACAGGAATTCAGCTTCTAATGACACATGATCTCTCGCACGCAGTTTGGCCCTTGGTTGCCACCTTTGGGAGCTGACTTGAGCTGGGATGGAGCTGGCTGGGCTGAGCTGAGCAGAGAGCACGAAAAGGAATTCCCCACTGCCACCACTTTGCAACTGGAGAAAGCAGGATCTCTTTCTCTCTTTTTATTACCTTGGGGTACGCTTGGTGATCTGGCCATTGTGCAGCCTGGCCTTCCTGCTAGCCACCTGATCTTATGGCCTGCCAAGTACTCAACCACCTCTTGTTTTTCCCTCTTCTCCATCTGCCTCTCCAAATTAGTGGGTAGCATTTGGCCTGGGTCGCGAGTGCATCTGACTGAGCATCAGTT